TACTTGGTGAGACCTCATCTCCACATTAAATCAAAAAATTAGCCAGGCGTGGTAGCATGTGCCTCTAGTTTCAGTTAATTGGAAGGCTGAGGGGGAAGGATTGCCGGAGCCCAGCAGGACGAGGCTGCGGTGGCCACTGCCCTCCAGTCTGGGCAACAGAGTGAGACTCCAACTCAAAAAAAAAAAAAAAAAAAATTATTAACGTAATTGTTGGTCTCATTTGTGGAGGCTGTTCTGAATCAGCCTCCAGGGACTTCCTGCTGTGCCTTTGTCCTGAGAAAGGGGAAGTTGAACCTCAGCCAGGCAGTGGCAATCAATAATAGTCTACTGATGACCTCTAGTTTTGTGGTAACAGATATTAACTATTAACTACACACAAGACTTGCTTTTTGGCAAGTTTGTTCATTGTTGTAAAATAAACTGCCATTGACTTAGTCCATATTTCTTTGACTCTAAGATGCTATTGATTGTAAGAGGCACTGTTATTTTATGTGCCACCAAGATAGGAAAACAAATGCTGTCAAGTAAACTATGACATTCAATTGATTTTAAATGCAACCAGAGACATTGAAATGTGAAACAGCATGCAGCTTGCAATTCATAAGGGATTGTTTATGGTGCTTTGTAAGAGTTTCTGAGTATTTTTTCTGCTCACAGCCAAGTTTCCTTTATTACAAACTAATCTTTTCAGGGGCAAAGATCTATTTTGCTTTAGTTTTTCCCTCACTACCTACATGGGTTGCTCAATGAGTGTAGAATGATTAACAAAATTGTCCTAGGTCTAATTATCTATTGGGTCTAATCATCTATTAGGTCTTTTAGGTCTAATCATCTATTAGGTCTAATCATCTATTTTAGTTCATAAACTAGAACTAAGACCTGCTGTGTCAGTACAAAGGGCCCTATTACTCAGGCACGGTCACGTAGCAAAAACATTTGGAAATCAGAAGACATTGGGTCAAAAGATCTAGATTCCAGTCTGGCTCTGTCCTACTAGTGTGAAAAAATCTCTTCTGCAAATTTCCTAATCTCTGAAGAATCTAGTTTCTGCATCTGCAATACTGGGGTAATAATGTCATGAAGATTCAAGGAGCTCAGGCACTGTGTCTACTGTCCAGGCCTGGACTCTTTCCAACCCCATGGTCAAGTTCATTCTGCTACCAAGAATGGAACACTGTTGCTTCAAGAGCATTGCATGAATAAACGCATTGTTTTAAAGTCCAGATGATTAGGTGTTTTTCTTTATCTGAAGACTTTGGTATGTTGTTGGTATGTTGCTTCACAATTCAATAGGTATTACAACTGAATAACGTTGAGTGTGAGTGTGTGCTATAGGCAAAAGTGGCACACTCATGGCCACTGCAGCCTCGACCTGTTGTGCTCAGGCGATCCTTCCACCTCAGCCTCCCAAGTAGCTGGAACTACAGATGTGAGCCACCTCACCCTGCTAATTGTTTTATTTATTGTAAGACAAGGTCTTGCCAAGTTGCCTAGGCTGGTCTTGAACCCCTGAACTCAGGCAGTTCTCTCACCTCAGCCTCTCAAAGTGCTAGGAATACAGGTGTGAGCCACCGCACCTGACAGATAGTATATGTATTGGTTATGCACTGGTTTTAAGAGTAAAATGTAGCCGGGCTCGGTGGCTCAGCCTGTAATCCCGCGCTTTGGGAGGCTGAAGTAAATGGATTGCCTGAGCCCGCGGGTTCGAGACCAGCCTGTGCAACTTGGTGAGACCTCATCTCTACAATAAAAATCAAAATGAGCCGGGAGTGGTAGCGTGCGCCTGTAGTTCCAGCTACTTGGAAGGTTGAGGCGGAAGGATTGCCGGAACCCAGCAGGTCAAGGCTGCGGTGGCCGGGAGCGGCCAC